CTACCTCCTAAGGAGAACCTGTGCAAACCCTAATATTGTCTTGTCAAACACTCCTTCACATCCCACAGTATGAAAACTCGCCCATACCAGTTCTGCCTAAGAGACCTCATCGGCCAGTCATACTCATTTTCTAACTTCCATAAAAACTAGGAGGCTGTTACACCAACTTTTCTCCAGTACAAGTATTACATGTGCATAATAGGTATGCACATAATTAGACTCATAGAATTCTAGGGCTAGAAGAGACCTCAGGAGTCATCAAGTTCTGCCCCCTGCCCGAAGCAGGACCAACCCCAACTAAATCATCCCAGCCAGGGATTTGTCAAGCCGAGATTTAAAAACCTCTAGTGATGAAGATTCCACCACTTCCCTAGGTAACCCATTCCAGTGCTTCACCACCCTCCTAGTGAAACAGTTTTTCCCTAATATCCAACCTAGACTTTTCCCACTGTAACTGAGACAATTACTCCTTGTTCTGCCATCTGTCACTACTGAGAACAGCTTCTCCCCATCCTCTTTGGAACCTCCCTTCAGGAAGTTGAAGGCTGCTATCAAATCCCCCCTCACTCTTCTTTTCTGAGGACTAAATAAGACCAGATCCCTCAGCCTCTCCTTGTAAGTCACGTGCTCTAGCCCCCTAATCATTTTGGTTGTCCTCTGATGGACCCTCTCCAATACATCCACATCTTTTCTATAGTGGGAGGTGGAGCAGAACTGGACACAATACTCCAGATGTAGCTTCACCAGTGCCGAATAAAAGGGAATAACAACTTCTCTAGATCTGCAGGAAATGCTCCTCCTAATGCACCCAATATGCCATTAGCCGTCTTGTTTAGATGGAGATTATATTTTCTCATCAGAAAACCATAATGAAATGTCTCACTTTAAAATACTACTTCTACCTGCACAATGGAAAACTAAGCCACATATAGAACAAAAACACTGTAAACAATATTTAGGTGGGGGAGGGGAGGAATTGTTCATAGGGTTACACATACAACAGGTTTAACCAAAAACTAAAACCATTTCAAAGGTGGAACATACTCTGCTAGGGAGATCATCACGTAACCGACTACACAGTTAACCGATAAGCCTGGGCTTATCAGTTAATCTTGTCAAGTACATACATTTCCCCTCCTCCCCCCCTCCCCGCCGATGCCTCTGTATCAGAGACACCAAGGTGGGGGTAGAGGAGTGGGAGCTGGTACCCATGAGGAGCTGGCTTTAAGCAGGCTCCCCATGAGCACCAGATCCGCTATCCCCACCCCTGTGCCGCTGCCTCTGAGGAAGGTCAGGCTGGTGCCAATACAGAGGCAGCGAGGGGGGCAGGCAGAAGCCAATGCTGGGGGGAGCTGGCTTAGAAACCAGTTCCCCCCAGCATCAGATCCATGGTGCCACCTGCCCACCAGCCCCCACATTGTTGCTTCTATCAGAGGCAGCAACATGGGGAGGGGCCAGGAGAGGATGCCGTGAAACAGCCTCTGTCCACAGGGAGCTTGGACACCTGCAGACACGGTGCTGCCACCCCGCACCACTGCCTCTGTATCCACTCCTAGGGAGCCCCCTGCAACCTCAAGCTGCTGCCTCTGTATCAGAGGCAGCAGCACAGAGCAGCAGGGAGCCAGTCTGCACAGGGAGCTGGTTTTTAAACTGATACAGAGGCAGCAGCATGGGGTAACACGGGGCTCCCTTGGAGTGGGGCTGGGAGTGCACTGGCTGCTGGCTCTGCCCCCGGGGATTATCAATAGCCATGTAACCACTAAAATTTCATGCGGTTACACAACTATTCAATTACATGGTATCTAATATCCCTATACTCTGCAACTGAAAAAATAAATAAATAAATAATAAAACACACCACCACATTTGTCCATGACAATCTCTTGAACTTTAAAAACTGGTCACTGCATCTTTGTTCCATGTTTGGAATTTCAGATTTCTGAATACAGTGAATAATTAAATATTCAGGTATTCAACCCTCAAAGAAAAAGATCTATTAAATAGAACGCAGTTCACAGGAGGGATTAAATGTTTACTCCTTGTTTCAAGTGCGTGAATGGGGGCATTCAGCTACAAGAAATTTTGGGATTTTGAAATAGGCTGTTAACTGGTTATAGGAGCATCAAGTAACACTCAAACATCATGACATTTAAGGGGAATAAGGATGTTTTTTGAAAAACTGGATGCTTCCTGGTTTTGCTACTTCCTTTTTTAAGAGCTGAAGCAAATACACTGCTATTGGAATTATCTAGTCTTATTTTTCAAGTCATTTTGGAGAATGTAAATACAAGTACATACACAGAAAAAGTGAAGATGGCCATCCTTGTTCATGTATGCCATTAACTTCTCAAAATACCAGCCTGCTGTTCTAAATTACAAAAGAGTCTAGTATCATAAGCTTTTGTGGGCAAAACCTACTTCTTCAGATAAGAAAGGGGGTTTTGCCCACAAAAGATTATATAGTTCGTCTCTAAGAAGCTATAGGACTCCTCGTGGTTTTTTTAAAGTTATAGACTAACATGGCTACCCCTCTGAGACTTTTAAATGAGTCTAAATAAGCGAAAAATCCCCAAAGAGACAAAAGATCAAATATGTCCTAAGTTAGCTTGTCACTTCCCTGCTTGTAGGTAGCATTTTCAAAATTAAGCCACTTGACCTTGACACTTGCTTTGCCTGGCATTCGTTTTCAGAGAAGTTCTGTCTCTCATTTGGTCCTGCTGTGAGGGCAGGGGACTGGACTCTATGACCTCTAGAGGTCCCTTCCAGTTCTAGTGTTTTATGATTCTATTATTCTCCAAGAATAAAAGGACTCCAGTGGCCTGGTGATTCAGATTGTTGTTATGTTCTTCCCTAGCAATTTATGTATGCCAGGGTTCTCTCTAAGGGTACGTCTAGTCTACATGCCTCTGGTGACAGAGGCATGTAGATTAGACTACCCAGCATAGGAAAATGAAGCAGCGATTTAAATAATCACTGCTTCATTTACATTTAAATGGCTGCCGCGCTGAGCCGATCAGCTGTTTGTCGGCTCAGCGCGGGAGTCTGGACGCTCCGTGGTCGACATCAAAGGCATTTGTCGACCTCCCGCTGCTTCTGAGCAATATCAGATTTAAAAATATGTTACCTATGATTGTTCAGAAAGACAAACTAAAGATTTAGGTGCTACACTGCTTTTTGGATTTGTTGTACACATACAGCCAAGACAAGCGCGAATGCTAAATGCCTAGAAACAACTATATGAGCAGAAGTTACAACAATTCTCCCATTTTCCTTTGAAGTGTCTTAAAGTCCTGGAACATTTTCTGTTCTGATTCTTACTTCTGTCAAAGATACAGAAAGAACAAAGTGACAGAGGTGAAAGATCTAAATTCCATAATCATTTCCTGAGTTATCCAAATCTCTACCATAATATCTAAATGAAATTATTTCAAATGTGAGTTACTATTTCAATATAAAACAAGGCTTCGTAGGTCACAGATAGGGTTACCAGGTGTCTGGTATTGTACCAGACAGTCCAGTAATTGCGCGCGCTGTCCGGTAAAAGAAAAAAATAAGAAAATAGCAGACATGTGCAATGTCTGGTATTTTCTGATTTTTCCATCTGCGCACCGGATGGAAGCCTGGCGTGGGTGGGGGAAGTGGCTGGGAGTCCCGGCTGGGAAGCGAGGCCACGCTTGCCACCAGGAGCCCTCAGTCGGTTGAATGTGAGGAGGAGGGGAAGCCTCCCAACAACTTTGGTGCCCCCCACCCTCTTTTTTTTCCCCCCCTTTCAACAAAATTTTTTCCTGGTGGTTTTTTTTCGGGGGTGGGGGGGTGTTCGGTATTTTTGTTTCAGCCATCTGGCAACCCTAGCCACAGACACTAGTCTGATAAGGTGATTAAGCAGCAATACTAGGTATTTTTATTAGGGATGTTAAAACGCATTTATAACTGCTGAAATTTTCAGCGGTTACACGTTTACACGCAAGGGGGAGGCTCCCCACATATACTAGCTCCTGTCTTCCTCCACTGCTGCCTCTGATACAGGAACCCTGTGTATAACCATGCACATTAACAGACGAGTCCAGGCTCATTGGTTAACCATGTACATGAGTTCACGTCCCTAATTTTTATGAAAGCTTTTTCCATGTAAATATAGAATATATCTTGGGTCAGGAATTCCCAAGCTGGACACCCACAGAGTTCTAGATTCAATTTGCTGATTGGGAAGGAAGTGGTGCCAACTTCACACTATACTATAGCACTATGCAGGATAAATCCGTAAGGCTCAACAAGCCTTGTTTTAAATGTAAGTTAATCATGGATTAGTTCTGTGGGAATGGGACAGAGGGAGGTTGAAGAAAAAGGAGGGAAAGGTAGGGCCATTGGGAAAGCAGAGGGGAAGAATCCTTACAGCTGTGCTGAATACAATATCAAGACGGGGAAAAAAATAGAAAATACATTGAACCACTTTCATTTAAGTGCCTAAATAAAAATGTAGGTAATTCATTGTAGCCATCCAATTACACTAGAATTTCTCTTTGTTTCTGCAAACATGTCATGATTAAACACTTTAATACAGTGGTGGGCAACCTCTCATAAGTGCTTTTCAAATTTTCCTATAGAGGTTTAAAAGTTAAGAAATATTACTGGCATAACATTAATATCTCATCCAATGCCACATCCGCTCCTTACCAAAAAAACCCACACCCAGTTTCATAAAACCACAAGAAAACCATAATGTCCTCATTTAAAGGGTTAAGTATTTTAAATTAAATACCAATTTTATGTGAATGTATCAGCTGTTTTGATCATACATTTTGCTTTTGCAGTAGCGCTAAACAAAGAACATAGCTGCAACATGTCTATGCAGATATGTTTGATTTAAGAGTACTAAATACCACGCCACACTCTTGGCACTCAAATACCAAGCAAGTACATATGGCTATTAAAGGCCCACAGAAAGACAAGCACAACATCATATTTCAAACTCTGCAGCCACCACCTCTCTCTTTATCTACCTTATCTTTGTCCTCGACAACATCTGCCAGCACATCATCTGGGTCCAAGATCCCTCCATCTGTATACTCGAGGTGGTGAATGTTCACCCAATAAGCAGGATCCTGCAGAAGAATAAAAAAACCAAGGTCTTTTGTCAAACCAACTTCAGCTTTTTAGCTCTATAAAGCCAGTAGAAATTTTTTTTATTCTATTTTTACTTCTCTCTTCTTTAGTAAATAACATTCCATTCTAGACATACAATTTTGGTTCAAGAATTCAAAGAAACACCTATGATACAAATAATGTGAATTTTATGTCAGATTACTACCAATTGAATGACGTCCAATATATTAAGATTTATATCAGCATTGACTTAGCATACATTTTAAATCTGTGTTTACCAAATACAAGTGAGGTGAGATGGATTTTACACATTATAAGAAAAATTCAGAGAAACAATGCTATATCACTGTAAATCACTGCAATTTAGAAACAATAAAATTTCTGACAACTTGGAAAAATGTTTATATAATTTTTCAAAACACACACTCAGACTTAGATCCTGCAAACATTTTGCAGATGCAAACTCTATTTATACACTACCCAGCCTCACCCACACCATCCACCAAGAACTTCCTGTTATGGAAAGTCAAGTCTCTCCTACAAGAGCAAGAATTGGTAATAGGAAACAACAAGCAATCCTGTGGCACCTTAAAGACTAACAAATATAACATATTGTGAGCTTTCAAGAGTAAAATCCATTTCATCAGATGAGACTGGTTAATCAGCACTCAAGCTGATCCTGTATGTGTCCCTAGACTCAGTAGGCAGAGTTCCACACCAATGCCAAGCTGTGACCCTCATGTGCCTTTGGACTCCGTGGAATAAGCTTAAAGTACTACCATCATACATGGTCAGCTTGTCACTACTCCACATTCTCACCACAGCCGTTCTGCTAGTAACCCATTTGAAGAGCAAACCCCTTAAGATACGAGGGTGACACAAGAATCTTTAGTTTAGATACAAGGAGTGTTATTGCAGAATGAATGGGGAAGCCAAAATAACACCCCCAAAAGGAGGAGGGGAAGAAAGAGAAGCAACCAGCTTAACCGCGGAAGTTATTTATTTCCTTGTAGTAGCCATAGAAACAAACAAACAAACCAACCAGTTACAGTATTAAATCTAAATTAAATCTGATTACAAATGCTAGGGCTACCAAAGCAAAACTGATCACATAAGGTAGGGTCAGGAGACTATACTGGTGGAGGTGGGGGCAGAGCGAGAGATAGCTCATCACTCAGTGAAGCTTGAGCTGATCAGAGTTTCCTGATGGTGATGGTAACTGGGGGTGGGCAGGAGTGTGTGTGGAGGGGCGGGGGGTCCAGAATAGTGGAGACAGGCAGCACAGAGTGCCAGTATGATTAGTATGGAGAAGATGAAGTCCCAATGGAGTTGATGTAGAATTTAGATCCAAGCATCAGAAAGAACACTTTCATGGAGAGGGTTTTTTGCTGTGATACAATGGTTTAAGGAACACTAGGTGATTTTGCAAGCAAACAGATGGTTCAAAGGACTAAATAATAAAAATTGATCATTCTTGGCTATGGGTGGTGTTCCTTCTAGGGAGCTCATAATGCAATTAGGCAATATTGGATACCAAGAGAGCAATTATTGCTATAATTGGTCTGATAACTATTGTTCCGGGTGTGGGCAGACAGGGGTTCATTAGAGCTAGACACTACCCTCTAAAGGTATTGTTTAACAGGTTAGCTTTTTAAACAGGAATTTACTTTCTTCATTCTCATTCATTCCCTACTTCATTCTGGTTCATTTTCTCTGAGGCACCTGGCATTGGCCACTGTCGGAAGACAAGGTACTGGGCTAGATGGACCTTTGGTCTAACCCAATATCGCCATTCCTATGTTCTCCAAACTGTCCACACCTTTCTTGAATCATGGTGCCCTGAACTGAACCTAATACACTCACTGAGGCCTAATCAGTGTGAAAAGAAGAATTATTTCTTGTAAGCAAAAACGCAACACTGCTAATATACCCCAGAACAATGTGTGTTTTTTTCCTTCTCTACATTGAGAAACTGTTGACTCTCATTTAGCTTGTGGCCCACTATGTGATCCCTGTCTGCAGTACTTTTTTCTAGTTAGTTATTTCCCATTTTGTATGTGTGAAACTGATTGTTCTGTCTAGGCATACCGGAGCGGTCGACAAAGGATTCCCTTGTCGACCGATCTGTGTCTAGACTGCTGCGCCATGCTGGATCAGCTGATTGTGGGCACAGTGCGGCGGCCATCTTTATTTTAATGAAGCTGGGATTATTTAAATCTCCGCTTCATTGACTATGCTGGGCAAACTACTTTACATGGCTCCGTTGACGTAGCCATGTAATCTAGACACACCCTTAATCTCGCCTCAGACAGCAGCCATTCCATACCCCTAATCATTTTTGTTGCCCTTTTCTGAACTTTTTCCAGTTCAGCTAAATCTTTTTGAGATGAGGCAAACACATCTGTATGCAGTCTTCAAAATGTGGCTATACTATGGATTTATACAGAATCCATAAAATATTCTGTGTCTTATTCTCTCTCCCTCTGATTCCCAACATTCTGTGTTGCTTTTTTTGATTGCTGCTACACACTGAGTGGATATTTTCAGAGAGACATTCACAATGACTCCAAGAACTTGCTTTAGTGGTAACAGTTAATATAAGCCCCTCATTTTGTAAGTATAGTTGGGATTATGTTTTCCAATAGAGATTATTCAGAATTTATCAGCACTGAAAGTCATCTACCATTTTATTTTGTTGCCAAGACACCTAATTTTATGTGATCCTCTGAAGCTCTTCACAGTCTGCTACGGACTTTACTACCTTGAGCAGTTTAATATCATCTGCGAATTTTGCCACCATACTGTTTACCCCTTTCTCCTGTGCATTTATGAATATGTTGAATAGGATTGGTCCCAACACAGACCCCAGAGAATGCTATTAGTTACCTCTCTCAATTCTGAAAACTATCTTTTTCCTAACCTTTTGTTTCCAATCTTTTCACAAATACCGATCCACAAGAGGACCTTCCCTCTTATCCCATGACAGCTTACTTTTCCCAAGATAAAACAAAAGACAGAACTATGTAGCACTTTAAAGACTAACAAGATGGTTTATTAGGTGATGAGCTTTCATGGGCCAGACCCACTTCCTCTTTTGTTTCAGCTAGACCAGACTAACACAGCTGCATCTCTATCACTATTCTACATGCTTTGCGCAAGATCGATTTCCAAAACGCCCTTGACAAGGCTTAAGTATATTATATCCACTGCATCCTCCTTTCCCACATGCTTGTTGACTCCCTCAAAGAATTCTGATACAGGTTGTACCTACAAAATCCGGGACTCTCTGATTCAACAACATCCATTGACCGGCAGGACAAAAGGTGCTCCTGGAGCAGAGTGCCCCGGAGCCTAAGGGCAGGAGGATCAACTGAGTGGGACATCAGAGTTGGCAGCCTGGCTGGGGGGAGCACAGGACCAGGGTTGGAGCCTTCCAGCAGCCCCCAGGAGTGCAGGGCCAGAGTCCCGTGGCTTTCTCCGACTGCACAGGGCCAGGGCTGGGGCTGCGCAGGGACAGGGTCCCCCAGCGTCCCCAGGCTGTGCAGGGCAGGGGCAAAGCCCCGTGGCTTTCCCCAGCTGCATGGGGCCAGGGCTGGGACTATGCAGGTATGGAGCTCTGCAGTTTCCTTCAGCTGTGTAGGGCCATGGCTGGAGCTGCAGGGGGCCGGGGCCAGAGTCCCAGCCTGGCAGCTGTTCCTGGCTGCATAGGAACGGAGCCCCATGGCAGGAGCTGGAGCTCGTGCCACCCAGGGAGCCAGCAGTAGGTACGCGAGCAGCCCAGCCTGGTTGGGGGCAGGGGGGGGGAGAGGGTGAGGCAGGGTTGCCTGCTGAAGCAGCCTGCCAGCAGCGGATAACAGGCTCGGAGGCTGGTGGCAAGAGACCTCCCCTGGTCTGGCAAATTCTCTTGTTCGGGACTGGTCAGGTCCCAGTGATGCCGGACCAGAAAAGTCCACCTATAGATTAGCAAGGCTTGACTTCCCATTACAAAAATCATGATGACTCTCCCCCAAATTACTTTCATCTACAGGTCTGATAATTCTGTTCTTTGCTACAGTTTTAGCCAGTTTTAGACTATAATTGCCCAGATCACCTGTAGAGCTCTTTTTTAAAATTGGTGTCACATTAGGTATCCTCCAGTCATTAGGTACAGAAGCTGATTTAAAGGATAGATTAAAAACCACAGTTAGAAGTTCTGCAAATTTTACATTTGAGTTCTTTCAGAACTTTTGGGCAATCCTAGAGACTGATTACAGGTTAGTTTACCAATTTATTCCAAAACCTCCTCTGAAGATACCTCAATCTGGGACAATTCCTCAGATTTGTCACTTAATAAGAATGGCTCAACTTCGGGAATCTCCCTCATGTTCTCAGCTGTGAAGGCCAATACAAAGAATTCATTCCATTTCTCCATAATGACCGATCATCCTTGAATGCTCCTCTAGACTCCTGATTGTCCAGTGGACCCACAGAGGTTGTTTAGTAGGCCTCCTGTGTCTGATATACTTAAAGTTTGCTATTACTTTGAGGTTTTGATCCTAATAATACACTTACAAAATGCAACAATCTGTATTATTAGCAATAGATGCTTATCTCCAACCTTTTCCATGATCATATAAAATAGATCTGTAAATTATTAAAATTGGGACATGTTACTTAAATATTATACTTGAAAATTACACAAGTTTCTGTGGGGTAGTGTATTTATACCAAAATATCTTTAAAAAGTTATACATGGTATGCTATTTCATAAGCTTTCTGTACACAGTTTTAAGAGCCTTTTTATGGGAAAACAGCTGGTAAAAATATTTTTGTTTTCCACTGTTTGTATCTATTTGAGATTTTATAGCTTCTGCCCTAGATGTTAATGTTTTAGAAGCAAAGCTGTGTGGTCCTAAAAAATGCAACATGCTGCCCAAAATACAAGACCCAGATGAACTAAAAGCCACCCCCACATGCCCTAATAAAAAAAAAGTCTTAAGTTTTCTAAAACCTGAGCTAC